TTGCATGTCGCCCGCCGCAGCGGTGCATGGCCAAAATGTCGAAAATGTTGGAGAATGCTGGGATTATTTTCAACGGCCCACTACAAGTCGCTAGTGATGGAGAGAGATGGACCGTGCTGGTTTGCCGAGGCGGTCCATGTCGCAATGCAGCACTGCGCTCGAGACGGACACGATCGCTTGGACGTTGGCAAGGCCGTTGGCGTCGTGAGCAGGCGCGGTGCGAGGTACGGAAGCACTTCGCGCGATTTTACCTTGAGCACCCCTGGACGAGGTCGTATACCGACGTGATACGCTTGAGGAGGCGTGGAATGAGCTCGTCGATCGAGCGGAAGCCCATGCTCTTGTGGAAACAATCAAACGCATCACCGGCTGCGCGGCGGACCTCTGGTAGCGCTTCGCAAGAGCGTCTTCGAGCGCCACGACAAACCTCTCGACGAAATATTCGAGCTGCTTCTTGGGCAAGCTCTGGATGAACTCGGCAAGACCCAAGCAGTAGCCCTGGCGCATGCCGGCGGGTCCATCGGATCGAGGCCCGCGCGCAGGATCGGGCCGACTTCGGGCATGACGCAGTACACCAAGTTGCCAAAGAGCGAGATCGACGACTCACGAATGCGCCAGTTGTCATCGAAGATACCGGCCTCCAGCGCAGGCAAGTTGGCTTTTGTGTTGGAAAGCGCATGCGCATTGACGACGATCGAGCCAGCGTGCATGGCAACGTCGCGGACACCGTCTGACTCGTTGGAGAGACTCTCGAGATCAGGCGCGTCCGGGCCAAGGTGCTCGAGCACCTCGCAGAGACCCTTGGCCGAACTCGACCGCTCGACCGACGACAATTCCGATTTGATGGCTTGCAGCAGCGACGGCATGAGACGCGGGAAGTGGCTCTGGCCGAGGCCCTTAACGAGCATACCCAGCGCCTTGAACACGACGGTGCGGACCTCGGGAATCAATTCAAGAAGCTGCATCTGGAGGCAGGGCGCGATCATGTCGAGGTACGGTGCGAGGTTCATGGCGTCGTTGACCATTGCCGACAATAAGCGCAGCCTTCTTCTTCGTCTCCGAGATGAAGTCCGTCAAGCCGCGCTAAAGCACAGGCATCACAAGCGCAAGCGACGGCGCGTCGATCGAGTGCACAAACTTCATCGACTGCAGCGCCTCCATTTTGCTCGTCGTCTTGCGATTCGGGTCCTACAAGCCGGCGAGCAAAATGGAGGCGATCGAGGCAATCTCGGGGTTGCGCGATGTCAATGAGCGCAACATGCCACTTTCACACGCGGGTGCGAGTTCGAGCGCGACGTCGTGAGTTTGGGAATGGCCTCGGCAAGCTCGAACCTAGTGGCTTGGGCGCGCACGAATCCATGGCGCCGAGGAGCTCGATGGCAGCCTGCTTCGTACGCCACGCCGGGTCGTGGAGAGCAAGATCGGAGGCAGAATGAGCTTGACACCGTGCGCCGAGAGGTTGTGCATGATGACCTTGAACGTGCCGCTCGCGGCCTCGCGCAGGGCCGCGCTCGTGCACGCAAACGACTGAAGGTGAATCGGTAAAATCACAGTCACGAACGGCTCGAAGAGGAAGCCGAGGCGCTGGCAGAGCTCTCCATGACGGACAAGACGCCTTGGCGGGCGTTCAGCTAGTCGGCCGTCTCGGGCGAGATACCGTGCGCAATGTGCAGAGCCGACGCGAGATCGGACGCGGAGGTTTGTGGACATGTCGCACTTGCTGAGCTGCGTGTGGCCGCGAAAGGCAACGTCCGCAAACGTATGGCAGCAATACCAAATCGGCGCCACCAAGTGCAAAATTCTTCAGCGCCGTGCGCGCGACGAGATATTTGGCCTCGCGCGAGCGGCCGCGCAGCTCCCTTTGGTGTCGTTTTGAGCTCTGGCTTGGTGTACTGGGCCTTCTTGGCCGCCGCCAGCAAACTCAAGAAGCGGTCAAAAGAGCACGCTGCGCGCTCGGGGCGTAGAGGTTGGCTCGAGGTACACGTCCGTGAGACTCGGCACCATCTCATCATCCTTCGGTATCGCAGCCGACGGCGCGAGGTCGACACGAACCGGGCCTTGGGGCGCGTCCATTCGCTCGGAAAGACGTCCTTGGCGCGCGCCGTGCACGTCAAGCGTGTGGGGCTAGAGCACGAGAAGGCTCTGAAGACCTTGTGCGGATCGGTCGAGTGACGCGCCGACAAGATCGCACGCAGGTGCGGCAGTGGATACCTGCGAGCGACGTCGCACTGTAAAGGACCGCGTCGGTGTCCTTCGTCGTGCGGTTGGTGAGCAGCAGAGGCGTCTGCTTAACAGCCTCAAGAAGGCCGTCCAGAGCTGGTCCGGAACGCGCACGCGCATGCTTCTTCCTGGGTCTAGTGCACGACGTGGTGGAGGAGATCCATCTACAGCGGCAGACGAGACACCTCATCCGAGTCATGAACCTAGTCATTCTGTGAGACGC